CCTGCATACCCTCCTAGTTTATCTCCCTTTTACCTCCACCCTTTTATAAGCTTCCCCTGCCCTCCTGGTCATGCCCCTTGGTTCTCAAGCTCCCTCTTGCCAGTGACATCCCCACTCACTCTACGCTGGGAAGATCCACCCAGTCTTCAGGGAAAAAGCCCCCTACACACACCCCCCAACCCTACACACACCCCCCAACCCCGTTAGGAAGTCCTCCAGGACCAGCGGCAGATTTCTTCTCTTTGATGTCTCTCCTTCAGCCCTGCTCTGGCTTTGAGAATCTGACTTAGTTGCAGACCCATCTTACTCCCCATGGAGGTGGTGGGCCATCTGATTCCTTAGAGCTTTGCCACCCAGAGAGTGGCCAGCAGGATGCTCGGGCCCAGGCTGATGCCAAATGTTTACCACATGGAACCACAAGAGGGTGGAGGAGGAGGGAGCTGGAACCCCACTTCTGGCTACCAACAGACCTCATACTTCTGCCATTCTCTGGCTGTGTGACCTTGGGCAGTGACGGAACTTCTCTGTGCCCCTGTTTCTTCCCTGGTAAAATAGGGTAGCAACAGCACCTGTATTTGTTAGGGCTATGACGTAAGCCCTAGAAGGCATCAGAGAGGTGACCTCTACCCAGGCATGATCACCACTATTATTTCTGTCAGCACCCTACCCCAGTGGCCAGCACAGGAATTTGGGGATCAGAGAGACTCAGGTTCCGGCCTGAGTCTGATTTACTGGGTGTGAGATTCCGGGCAGGTGGCTCACTCCCGAGCACCTCTATTTCCCCATCTCTGTAATGGCACTAATTCTGCCCATGGGAACGCAACACCCCATCTCCGCATCGTCTTTTGTTCCAGGCACGCAGTAGGCACTCAGACATTTCTCAAATCATGAATCAGTGGTCCAGGTGGAAGGAATCCATCCCCCTTCCAGCCTCTTCCCCTGCCCCAGCCTCCAGAATTCCCCTCCCCACCCCCAGCCCGTGCAGACTAAAATAGTCATTAGGCAGATTTCAAAAGATGTCAGTAGCTTATAATTATAGTCGACACCCTTCTGAGATAAAAGTGATTACCTTGGATGCAAATCACTTAGCAACCAATCAGGACGGTGGGCGGTGCCCGCGGAGGTGACCGGCCGGCTTGCAGCCCTCCTCCCGCAGCCCGCCCCGCACAGGCAGAGAAAGCGCACAATAGCTCTTGACACGCAAATGGGTTAACACAATAAAGGCGGCTCCGGCCTCTGCTGGGGGAGAGCAGCAATTCCCGGCCCGCGGGAGGTAATAAAGCGGCCCTTTTGTGCGTGCCTCCTCGTTCTCACCCCCGCCCCAGCCCAGAGGAATCGCCGCCTGATTGAATTACGGTCCATGAATATGAGCTGCTTCACTCGCTTCCTCGCTTCCCCCGGTTTGTGAGGGATTGGAAGGCAGAGGAGGCAGGAAGGAGGTTGGGGAGGGGCCCCCTGGGCAAGCCCCAGTGCCTCCCCCCACAGGAGCTCAGATGGGAGCCACGTGTGCCCACCACGTGGGGTGCCCTGGGCAGGTGGGTGGGAGACCCATCAGAGGCAGCTGAAAGGGTGAAAGACCTGCCCTGGGATCTTTGATCTTTGGCTCCAAGAGAGACTGGGAGAGCCATTCAAGGCTCCGTTCTGAGGATGAGACTAACAGTCGCCACAAGAATGTGCATTTATCCAGTGCTTACTGTATGCCACCACCTACCTGTTCTAAGCCCTCACTGAATCCTTACCACACCCTGGGCAGTGGGTGCTATTATCAGCTCTTTCTCACAGAGGAGGAAACTGAGGCTCAGAGAGGCAAAGTGACTCACCCAAGGTCACACAGCCAACAAGTGGTTGACCCACTCCACAGCCTGGCTGTTTATCATGAGCCATTGTCCACCCCCACGGGTTAAGTAACCTAGCCCAGCCCCAGTCCAGAACAAATGTGATGCTCAGAAGGGATAGGGGATGGGAGAGCTTACATGGAATTAGACAAGTGATAAGGATTACTGGGGCGCGGGGGTGGTGGGGGTGGGGGCAAAGTAACCTTGAGAGAGGGGACTGCCCAGATAGCTGACAAGGCTCACCACCAGACAAGGCAGCTGTAACTGGATCCTCTCCCCTGCTTAAACCTCCCCTATTCTAAGCCTCCAGGACACAGCCATCCCAGGGCCACCCCCTCCCCTCATTCAGCACACCCCAGCACTCACAGGCATGCTACATGGCCACTCCCACTGCCCAGAACACTCTTCCCACCCCTCGGCCTGGTGGATCCCTATTTGGCCTTTCTGAGAGTCACATGGCGCCCCTCCTATGGGCCCTTGGCAACCGTCAGGCTAGGTCAGGAGCCACATCTACCAAAGTTGCCCTTGCCCCATTTATATACCTTCTTGCCTTCCCTATCAGCTGGGTGCCTACCAAGATGGTTGGCCCCTGGGATGGCTGGGGGCAGCCTCACACCCCACCCCAGTAAGCCCACAGGGGCAGATGACAAGCAGCCTAGGACTGGCTCTTTCAACCCTTCTTGGCAGGCTGGTTTCAAGCCATACCTTCCTTCCCTCAGTTCTGCAGAAAGAGGGATGGGAGTGAGGGGAGCAGGCTGCCCACAAGGCCAGGGCAGCAGTGGCTAGATAACTCTGCTCAACGTATCCTGTAGGGAATGGGGGAGCAGAATTCCAACCTGGGTTTTAGGGTGACAAGGCATCTATCTCAGTGAGGCCAGGCTCTCTCCATAGCCAATAGTCGCTGACTCTTGCAGGGACTCTGTCCAAGAAATGGGGGTGCCTCCCCTCTACCCATGGAAGGGGGTGGGAAGACCTGGGGACTCTGGACCCAGTGTAATTCTAAGCCACACCTCTGCGGTTGTCAGGCTGAACACCCACAGCCCATCACTTCCTCTCTCTGAGCCTCAGTTTCCTCATCTGTATAACGGACCCCAGCACAGGAGGTGCTGCAAGTTGTAACTGAGATCCTATGAAGTGCCTGGCATATAGGAAGATGCTGGGTAAGCTGGCACTCCCTCCTGCATATTGCTTGGTGCTATTGCCAAACCCAGGGAAGGGAACAGAAGGAATCGCCCAATTCTGACAGCCTTTCCCTCCGCCTTGGCTGTGGAAGTGTAAATACTCCACGAAGAACCTCCAACTGCTGTGTTTGTGGATCTCTGGCACACACTCTGAGTTTGTTTCTAAACTGGGAAGCTTCAAGAGGCAGGGCAAACAGCCCTTCTGCCCACCTCTCCCCCCATCTGCTATTGCTCCTCTGTCCTTAGAAGCCTGTGTGTTTAATGATACCATTTCAGCTGGAAATATCATCTCCCTGCCAAGCCCCCCAAAGCGGCTCCACTGATATTTATTGACCTGTTAATCTAGCTAGAGCCTGGTAGGAGAACAGAAAAAATGCTTGCTGCATTGAGATGGGGCCTGGATTCTCATAATGACCTGAGATACACTCCCCTCTGCTCTCACCCCACCCCATGCCACTGAAGCAATGACACAGTTCTCTAACCTTTTCCTAGAAATGTGATCACAGCAGTTTCACCCACATCCGACACTGGCAAATTGCTGGAAGGAACTTAGAAGAGGAATCAAAGAGCCAGCAGCAGCAGGATGCTGGGGGGCGGGGAGGGGGGGGGGGGACGGGGCGGGGGGCGTTCTCAGGGCCTTCACAAGGAACAGGACCAGTGCTGGGGTGTACTGGGGAGGATAGAGGTAGTACCTGACCCCTGTCAAAGCTGGCCCCTTCGCAGAGACACGCTTATTCAGACCTTGGCACTGATAAGCCTGACTTGCCCTTCATTCACTTAATGAGCACCACATGGAGCTTGTCAAAATCATCTTAACCACCAAAAGGAGTGGGGCAGTCAGAAGTTCAAGCTTAGCCAAGGCCCCTAATCTTGGCCTTAAACAACAGGGGACCCCCTGAACTTGAGAGGCAGAAGCAGCTCCTGTGCACTTTCCCTGGCTGGGGGTGGGGCACCCACGTTTTCCTGAGCAGAAGTAGCCTGTTTTAAGGCAGGGGGCCCACAGCTCTCTGGGGACCCTGGGAACTTCAGCCTGCTGGGGGGGGTATGTGGTGGGGTTCAGGGAGGTGGTCTCTGTAGCATCCCTTTGGAAAGCAGCAAGTTGCTGTTTGGGAATCCTAAGCCCCCAGGCACTGCCAGGCTATATGACCAAAGCTGAACACCTGTCCTTGGGGGGCGGAGCATCAGCAGGGACAGCTGGTGCTGCCTCCCTCCCTCACCTCATCAGGGCTCTGGGGATTTAGGTCAGAGGGCTGCATTTGGGGTGGGGGGAGTCTGCTTCACCCCTCCACTTCCCAAAGGCATCCAGCCCGCCCATGGTTACCATGAGCCCTGCCCCTGGTTACCACGACCCCCGGCCCCTGCGGCCTTGGGTCAAGGCAGGTCCAGTCGCCACGGCAACCCCAGTGGCGTGGGAGGCCTGGTAGTGACGTCACGCCGCGGCCCCACTGGGCACCCGCTGTCCCTGCGAGTTTTTTTGTAGGAACGCAGGCTGTAAGGGGACCATGCTACTGTCTAGCCTTAGAGAGTACGATCCTCAAAAGCGGCCACCTGCATAGACGAGACTCCACAGACCCCTCTGAGCTGATGTCCCTTGAAAATCTCAGATGTGACTTGGGAGAACCCCAAGCTGTCCCATGCTGGGTGTCCCCCTCGTCAAACAACAAGACACGGAGTTCCTGGGGAATTTTCGGAAGACTGAACCGCTACCCCCGCTACCTTTGTTTGTTGGTTTTAGGGGTGGGGTGACCTCTGGCATATGCCCAGCCCACGGCCCAGCAGAGTCCCCACAATGGGCTCCCAACCTCCACGCTGGCCGGTTGGCGAGTCCAGACAAGTTGTGTGTGAGAAGGAAAGGGGCCGTCAAGAGGCACCTCTGCTTCAGTATCCCTAACAGCCCCAGGGGCTCTTTATTTCCAATCTGGACTGCCCCGACACCGGGGGTTGCCTCCAGCTCCAACCTGGAACCCCACCCCGCGGAACTCACCGGATCAGCAAGGCCGTCGAAGGGCCCCAGGTCTCAGCGGCGACGACCCTCCGTTCGCCGGGTCGCAGCCATGCAGAGGTGGCAGAGCTGCCTGAGGAAGCGCCTCTTGGGGACTGATACCTCTCTCCGGGTGGGAAAGGACGCTATCGGTGAGGGCGATCCAGGCGCCAGCCCGCGCAGTCCGAAGTCGGGGGTGGAAGGTCTCTCGGCTCAACGGGGGTCGTGCCCGCCCGGAAACCGGGCCGCGCGGGCGCTCAGGCGGCGCATCCTCGCTGGGGCCTGTGCTCACCGCGTCCGGCGGGCGGCGCTGCGCCTCCCCTCGGGGTCCCGCTCAGGGCTGCAGCTCGGCCCGCGCCGCTCCCCGGGGCGCCCTCTCCGCTGGCGCCGGGAGCCCGGCGGCCGCAGCCCCTCTCGCCGGCCCCAGCTGCAGCCTGTCTTTGTTGCTTCCTCTCGCTCGACCGCCCGCCGGCGGCTTGCAGTCTCCGGGTTCGCCCGGGGTTGGGAGGGGGTCGTCTCCTTTGGGGTTGCACGCACCTGCAGCGGCCGGGGCGCCTCGCTGGGCATGTACCGGCCCCCGGCAGGTTGCAAAGAGCGGCGGCGAGAATGCACCGGCCCCTCCTCCTCTTGCTCCGAGCCCCGGGAGTGGGGGGAGGGGAAGCCGGAGAGCAGCGCTAGCCGAAGCGGCGGCAGCAGGAGGCGGAGGCTCGGATGCAGACCCGGGGACCTCCGCGTCGAGAAATAACCGGTCCGGGTGGAGCAGGGAGGAGGTGGGGACGGCCCGGAGGACGGTGCACCAGGCGCGTGAGCTCGCTAGGTGCAGTAGGGGCGGCGCGCACTGGGCTCTCACGCGCCCATGGCCCCGGGCGACGCGCGGGGGCTCCCGGGGCCTCAGCCTCGCACCGCCTGGCGCGCGCCGGCGCCTCGCCTCAGGCCGAGTGCCGCGCGCTTCGCCCCGCAGGTGGCGGGCCCCACTCTTCGCCTCCTCCGGCTGGCGCGCGCAGCCTCTTCGCAGAGCCGCCAGCCCGGCTATCCTGCCCGCTGCTTCGCTCCAGCCCGACTGACAGGCGAGAGCGCTGGCAGCAGTCGCTGCGTCTCGCCCCCCGCCAGCCCCCTGCGGTTCGGCCCAATCAGCAACGGCCGAGAGGCGGTTACCAGGGTGACGCGGCGCCGCGTCCTGCGGGGGGCGTGGCCGGGGGCCGCCACGCGCGCTTTTCGCGGCAAAATTCAAAGGCCGGCAGGGAGGCTCTCCAACCTCCTCCCCCAACTGGGGCGAGGCGGGGCAAGCCTCGGGAGGACTGCAACTCCCGGTATGCAGCGCGCCGGCGCCGGGCGGAGGGGCCTCGACTGGGGGTGCAGGGCATGCTGGTACTTGTAGTCCCTTAGTCGGGAACCAGGGGTGGAAAAATCAGTATAATTTATTGAGCACATATTTAATAGCAAATTGTTTAAAATAATAAAAGAAGCTAACATGCATGTAACGAGGTACTTTACCTACTCTTCACACACTACAATGAGGTAGGTTTTGTTATCACCCCCTTTTACAGATGAGAAAACTGATATGGTAGGTACTATTACTATACTCCCAACTTATAGACAAATTTGAGGTTAAGAGATGTGACATGACACTCTATCTTGGAGTACTTTGCCTCAAGGAATATTTTTTGGCAGTGATGGATTTTTGGCATCACACTTGAGAAGCTCTCTGGAGCACTAACTATAACCAGACACCATGCTGAGCTCTTTATAAATTCCACCTCCATGGAATCCTCACCACATACATGGATGGCAGGCATCGGTATTCTCCCCCCACTTAACAGATGGGGAAACTGAGGCACAGTATCACCTGAGGTCCAAATTTTGAATCCGTCAAATTATACTGCACCTTGCCTTAATCTAAGCAGCTTCATAGGCTCTCATTCCTGAGAGCCCACGGATGGCCCGTTTAGCAGTCCCATTGGACAGCTGGCGAACAGAGTCCTGGGAGGAACAGTTCCCTCCTCAGTTGCCATGTGTCACACAGCAAGTTGGGCAGGCAGCTTTCCAGGAAAGACCTCAGGATCCCTACAGAAATGTAAAGCAGCAGCCATAACTCCTCCCATAATCCTCAGGCTATGCTCCTGTGACCCCCCCCCCACCAACCTGGCAACCTGGAGTTCCACGGAACCTGGGTGGGATTCCAGCCCTGTGGGTTCCAGCTAGCTGTTGGCCTTGGACATTTATCTTCACGACTCTGTGCCTCAGTTTCTTGTCTGTGTATCATAATTCCTACCTTACAGGGTTGTGAGGGCAAAGTGAGTTATTGCGTGGAAAAGACTCAGAACACAATAAGTGCTCAATAAACCCAGCCGTAGTTATCAAGACGTGGTGGGCTTTGGAGACCCTGGTGAATGTACTCAGTGGGATGAGCTCATTAAAGTTGGCCTTGGCCTACTTCCAAGAGTCAACCCACCCCTACCCAGAACCTAGGAGAGGCACCCGCGGGGGAGCTCCAGGGCCGGCCCAAGTAGGCCACCTGCCACCATATCTAGGGCAGGAGCTGGCCCTGTTTCAGGCCGCCAAGCCGCTGACAAGTGTGCGGTTCCCAAAAACATGCGGCTTCCGTGCCCCGTTTTAGTTCTCCCCGCCGTCCCCCTAACCCCTCTT